TTCTTTGGAAAATTGAATAGAAAGTACGATAATAGCAAATAATTTTTTTACTGTTAAATATTTGAAAAGAAGTGATTTCTAACAGCTGGCAACCTGTAGAGTACTGTAGCCGCTCAGTGGGAATGCATTGTTAATTCCATAATAGCATTTCCAGAAAACTGATTTGATAGTAAAAAAATAAACAAATCAGTTACAAACTGGACTGGTACACAATACGGGCCAGGTAGACTCACCTTGAGTTGTATTGCATATTACATTTTCAAGTGTTACTGATTTTGTTTAGTATTTTTTTATTTTAGCACTCTGGCACAACCAAAATAAGTTTACTGTATAACAAACCACCTAGTCTTAGTTTGGAGTTTTCCACCAAAACACTAGCCATGTTTACACAGCTGATAAGTAACACCGATGATCTCTAGTCGAGCGTCGACTACACAATAAAAAAAATCATCTGTTGTACCAGGAAGTCACATGATTAGAACTGAACTGAAAAAAGCGCACATTGCTGCTTGTTTTGAAATCCTTTGTCAAAAAAAGGTTAAAAATGTATGTTATTGGTAAAAGCATAATTTTTCAAATAAGGACACAAGCGACTGCTCTCTGTTCCGTTCATTCCTCCATGCTTAAATACGGTGCAGGCGCAAGTTATTATATTGGGTTTTTGGAAGAGCTATAGAAATTTTTAAATAATTATTTGATTTGTACAAAAAATATATTATTTAGAATTCGTTCAAGTACAAAATTAAAATATCTTGAAATTGAAAAAAATAAAATTTCTTAAAATTGGAAAAGAAAATTGATACCAAGATGCAATTCGAACTCACAACCTTAAGTTCTTTAGAACACATCCATAACTGACCGTGCCATCCATGTGATGTGTCCTATTAGTGGTAATGGCAATAAAGTAAAGTCCTTGCTGAAACCCCTGTTTTGTTTTGTAGGTGTAAGGGAAACTCTGGGGTCCAACTTAAAAAAAGGGCAATGAACATTTGTTGGAAATCTCCTCTAGTTAATGCGTACAAAGTTTGCTGCACGTCCGCTCAAAACTGGCGACGTTGGACGCTTATAAAGTTCTGGTAACAAGAACAAGAATAGCAGTGAGGCTCTGGGTCCAGCACCTTGCGCAAACCAAATGATTGTATTCAACAGCAACTTCCTGGGATGACTTTAACACAGGTCAAACAACAGCTAATTCGCATAAAGATCATGCTGATGATCCCTACTCTATGTAAATTGCAGTTACTGATCCGTTATTCGGAGTTACTAATACCATTTACACAGCCACTTAAGACCTATATCATCAGATAAACTTGATCATCATGATGATCTGCTCTGTATAAACATGACTAATATTAGAAATACAGTATATTTGAAATAATGTGCTTAACAATGGAATACTGTGAAAAGAAAAATCGAACTAAAGAGTTCTAAGAATTAATTCCAATAATTAGAGAGGTTTTCCATAAGTGATTTTGAAGTGGTTTTACAGAAAGCTGACAAGCAAGGCCTCGCTGATGAATGTACAGCCAAGGTCAATGGATAATTATCATTTAAAACATGGCTACTACCAGGCCATTCTAATATATCTATTCATAATACCATAGTTTCTCAAGTATAAGGCCACCCCTACTTTGCGCCCAATTTTACATACCAGTGTTTCCTTTAGCAAAAGCCCAGGGCAAGATTTAAATGAGTAGCTTAAAGCTGACTTTCACAAATTGTTACACTTTTTTTTTTAAAGGAACAAATAAAATTTTGTCCAGGTTTAGTGTGTTCTTATACTTTTGCTGATTTCAGGCTCAAAATGTTCACATTTTGTTCTTATTTTTACACACTCTTGAAACATACAAAATTATTATTGTAAATTAGTGTATTATTACTGTACATTATCATAGAGGGTATTGCATAGTCACAACAACTGTAGATAAGGTACAGATAAGATTGGTTTGTTTTTTTCTATTGAAAAAAAATAAATAAAAACCCCATTTGATATTTTTCCTCAGCCTCAATTTGTGCCTCAAAATGTGTTCTTATAAAAAAAAGTCTACTTTAAAAAGAAAGGTCAATGTTGGCTTTGAATTAGCATGCAGTATACTGAAAAAAAATGCCTTTTTAAAAGAGGATTCTCCAGACACTGTATAAGCCACACCCCCTCCTCCCTTCCAAAAAAAAAATTTTAAAAAATCACCTAATTTTGTGTTGAATGGTGATGGGCCTATACAAGATGAGCTATGGTATTTTTAGATACAAGATAAAATTTATTGTCTCTAGTTAAAATAAACGAATTACAATGCTCACAAAATTCTTATTAATACAACAGGTTTTATCGTGAGGTGTTTAGTTAATTTATTGTGTATACTGATTTTTAATCAAGTAGCTACTTTTAAACTATACAGTATTTTGTCCAAGTGGCCTTGTCAGCAGGTTTGCCTTGTCTCTGAGGATATCCTTTGCTGTATCAGCTACTGTAATCCCTCTTGGTAATCTCCTTTCTTTTCAAGCGCTCTTATTTCCATGTCCGATTGTGTCTATCACTAGAGGAACCATGATCTAGACTGTACAGTCCCTATTCTGCAACCATGGAATATAGATCCTAATTCTGCATTAAAAAAACATAGAGCAAGCTTTATTTTAAAGCCAAGCATAGGCTCAAGGACTTTGCTGACAGGCAGTCCAACTTGTCCGACTGGGGCCAGGACCAAAGGGCAGTTTATGGCCTACCGTCAGGGTCTTCAAGTATAAACCTTTTGTAAGGGGGCGATTTTTAATAAGTGTAGGATAATAATGGTGATTTTTAGACTATGTATTGTATTAGGATCTGCAGTCACAAGGTGACATTGGGCTTAGAGTGGCATTTGGCGACGGGTGTCGCACACAAGCGTGTGACATAAATGTCCGAATCTGACCGTTGCTGGTGTCGCCACTGATAATACTGTCAGATTCATATACTTTGATGAGGTAGAGCACTGATGTCTGATTTCCAACAGAATAGAAAGACACAATTTCATGATTTCTATCATGTTATTTAAATGCGATAATGCTCGTAGATTAAAAAGGAATATGACACTAAGGAATTGACTCAAGGTAGAATCCATGTTCATTGGCAAAAGTGAACAAGACTCTGTACTGTTTTACAGAGAAATGCCTCATGCAAACAGCCTAGACTTTAAATTTACGCACAGAAATGTTTACCACAGTCGCAATAAAATCTTCCTTTTAAAAATCTGGTGCAATCGAAGCTTTTGAAATGTAATAATTTACTAGGATGAATAATATCTATCTGTTAAAAGTTAGATTACTCTACTTCATCAAAACAAGATCAAACATCATGTGAGGATGAATTTGGATGTTACTACAACGTGATGTACTGTAGCTTGACGGGCCTCATATGGACCTAGATCTAATTTGCCTGAATTGTCATTTATTTTTTATACATTATTTGTATTTCATCATGTATGGAACATATTGTTTTCTTGACCCTGTATATTCTATTGTGAACAACTAAATAAACAAGAGTAGTAGAGCAGGAAGAGGAAGAAATTATTACTGTTGCTAAATTCAAGTATGTCACATTTTACTACATGTTTGGTATGAATCCGGTATTAACTTCTGTACACACTATTAAATTTTATATGACATAAAAACACTGATGCCCATATTTGGGTACACACCATGATAACACAAATTTGTCACATAAATTGTATAGTGTGGACAGAGCTAATATATAATAATACATATGTCACATTTTTCTACATTTTTGGTTGTGTGAATCCGGTATAAAGCTCTGTCCACACGATCAAATGTTATGTGACATAAAATCTGCGATGCCCATATTTAGTTACATATCACACCATGATAACACAAATTTGTCGCATAAAATTTGATAGTGTGGACAAAGCTAAATGTTACATACCTGTATGTCACATTTTTTTTTAGATTTTTTTATTGTGTGAATCTTGTATAAAACTCTGTCCACACTATCAGATGTCATGGGACAAGATGCCCATATTTGGGTACATCACACAAATTTGTCACTTAAAATTTGATAATGTGAACAGAACTTGGAATTAGGTAAATTTGTTGATCATACTGTATGTACAGTAACTTTAACTAACTAGAAAATATAGTCAATAAGTCTGATACTGTAGATAATCGAAGATGTGAAACATCCACTTATGTTGTTACAAAGATTTTCTTAGTTATTTGGAATACTGTATAACTTAGTCATCATGTACAGTAATGGTTGACCACATTCCCATCGGACTCATTAATTCTTGGAATTTACATTCACTTAATGCGATATTGACATTCTCTACTGGCTCACTGGTATTAGGTTGCTTCTTGGCTTGGACCATTTGTTCATGAGTATCAACTTCAGCACAGTTACTGATAATGCATTTCATTTTACATCAAGGGGAAAATGACCCCTTCTGCCTAAGTCTCACCCATAACATAAATTGTTGCTAATGTTCTAAAAAGCAACAGCTATTCGTTTGTTAAGAAATATGGCTAATTGGTGGTTGGGGGATATTCCTTGCCCTGCCTTTGAATAAGCTATTCTGATTGGTCAGGTTTTTAAGTTTGATCGACACTCACTGGTAGGTCAATGGCTGTCAGGAACTCCTCCCTGTTCCCTTAAATCTCCATGCCTAAATGCCTGTGCAGTGTCCTCCCCAGGCCCTTGAAGCATCATGGTACCATGATGCTTGGGACTTTCCCCATGATGCTTGACAGTTGGCCATGATGCTTGGAACATCTTCCATGATACTTTTATCAGGGAACAGTTAAATTATTTAACTGTTCCCTGCTTTTATAGTCTTAAAGTGTAATTTAGGACATTTCAATACCTTAATTTTTAAAAATACCTTGTGTCAGTCCCAACTATGGTGGACTTAACACTTACCGTGGTGCTTGCCCGTGATGCTGGGGAGAACACTGCTGTGTATTCAATAACATTTTTTGATTGAATTATAACAATTTTTTTTTCTATTTTCATCTAGTGAAATAGATGCGTATGGATTTAAGCGGGCTGCGGATTTTGACTATGATTCCTATGAGGAGTTTATGTCGGAGTACTTAACGATTTTAGCAAGAAGAGCATCCAAGTGGAAGAAAGTTTTCAAAAGCCAAAAAACACTATCAAAATCAAGGAAAGGTATTACATTACATTTTGCAATAAAGGAGCAGTGATGTACCTGAGAGTCTTGCAATGGGTGGTGGGGGAGGGGGGGAAACGATAGGGGCACAAGCTTTTTTGGGGGATTTGTACCCCTAAATACGGCATTGTACTGTAAGGGAGGTGGGGGAACAGCTTCTTTACTGGCTTGTTTGTTGACACTGCACTCATGCATATGAGTGCTTTGCATAGAGTCTGCATTATAAATTCCCATTTTATTATGCTCTCTGTTAAGCCTACTTCTGTCAGTGTCTACCCATCTGTTAAACCTAATTTTTCTAAGCTAGCTTTAATCTGTTTGTTAAATGTGTACATATTATTAATAATATTAGCATAGCATTATTGGGATAAGGATGTTATTGTTGAGTTTTGCAACAGGAACTGATGTCAAAAAATATATTCAGGCCTTTGAAAGTACTTTTCATTCTAAAATTAACCTTGACAATATCATTATTCAATTTATTTGTTTTGAATGATATCGCTAGTAATAAATAGAAACAATTTAAACAAAACAAAAATGGGAAAAATTACTACACAAAGAAGCATTAAAGAATAAGATTTACCAAACAAAATATCAAATTGAAATTTCACCCAAAAAAATCATCTTTTAAGATGATTTTTTTTAACTTAAAAGTTGTTTCCATAATATTAATTTCATCAATTTAAAAAGCATAGATGAATTAAAAGAAGTTAAAAAGAATACAATGTAGCTGTACTTACGGTAATGAATAAGCCACTTCCTAGTTACAACTGCACATGCTCGCATGAAGGTCAGTCGACATTAAACATTGTATACGCACAACATAGGTTTATGTCAATTGACCTTGGATGCCACGGGATACACGTATGTGCAGTTCAAACCATGGCTTATTGTGTTTCAATAAAATGTATATACACCTGTTTTACAGTGAACAGAAAATTATAATTTTATTTAATTGAATATGGTACGATGAATAAATTATTAACATATGGATTGTACAGGCTAAGAATATGCTGAATTATAGAGAACCAATACAGATGGTGGAGATGGTGGAGAGTTTTCAAACCAACCCAGTGGCATAATAGTTATGAGCTCCCACTTGCTAAAAGCCAGGGCCCTAGGCCTCAAATTCCCCAGTGTTATTTTACAGCATGTTTTGCCCCTTATATTGGCTGAGCAGGGCTTTATTAAGGAGCAATGACATGAAAAAGCCCATCAAAATACTTACTTAAAGTGTCAGGTGGGGCTTTTCAACCACGGTAGTAAGGCCACAAAGAAGCTTTAGTTCCCAGACCTTTTGTTATACCACTGAACCAACCCTTGCAGAAGTATTACAAGCATATTTTACGTTGATTCAACAGCGACTTTTTGCTATGGTACCAATTCATTCTTTGTTTTTTAAGAAACTAAAACCATAAATGTCATTCAAAACCACTTATAAATTATATAAAAACTTAATTAGAAACAAAATTTAAAGTGTTAATTAATAATAAGATTTTGCAATATAATTTTGAATTTGTTTGTGTTAAGCCTGGATTTCATAAGATCCTAGGAAGCTATTGCTGACAATCACCGACGCATGTTGTGTACAAAAATCAAGTGCATGCAATCATCAAAGAGAAGCTGATTGGTGATTGGTCAGTGGTTGAGGAAGGTTGAAACTGATTAACTTTTTCCGAGTCTGACAAATCAGGAGCCTTCCCGATTACGACAGGGATAGCTACGTAATATAGCAATTGCTGTACGACAGCGACTTTATGGATTTAGGCTTTATGGATAATAATCTGGTACTATAAGTCATTTTAGAACTTCATTGCAATTGCAATGAAATTTCAAATTTTTAATTAAATTTAATCAAAAAAGTTCAACAATGACAGAAATTTGTACTGATTGTGTTCTACTGAGCTAGTGGATAATAACATCTGGAATGATAAACGACAATAAATTATACTGAATACTGAGTAGTCTATTGTAGTATGTGTACATTGATTGATACTTTATTGCATCGTAGTTTGCATGGATCAATGGAGAACAGTATCTATACAGATGGGATTGTTTATATTGCTGACAAAAGTGGTTCTTGAACCAATACTAATACAAAAGCATACTGTATATATTAAGCTTAATATATGACTGGAATGACAATTATCTTCTCTGTAGAAGGTAGATTGAATTCAATATTAGAACAATACTCTTATCTACCGATAAGGCTACACACAGGGTTTTATTTCATGAATATTTACTTTTACACCCCATGAGAGAGCACCACTTAAAAATAATGAAACTTCCCCCAAATCTCTGCCTTAAGTCCCCCACTGCTTTTCTCACCTTATATATATTGCTCCATGAATTCACCAAAATCAGATGTTTATGCTAAATTAACCAGTTTAGAATTAAATCCCTTTCTGGTACACATTATGTTTTTTTTAGTGATATAAAAGTGTACTTATTAAATCCAGGCTCAGGGGGGAAAAATGTTTTGATAAGGTTACAACTGAATATTCTAAGACTTTGAAGAGAAATAATTGAGAAAAACATCTTGATATAGAGGTTTGAATTTTAAAAACTGGGGGGGGGGTAGTGAATGGGGTTCTCCTTTATCTTTTTTTATTACCATGACCTTCATAAAACTGCATGTAATTTTAAAGTTGAAGTAAATTTCCATAATCGGTAAATTGATGTGCTCATATTGCCAGTTAAAATCATCTTCTACAGTGTTACTGTTATTGATTCTTATGAAAATAAAATAGAAGCTAGACCTAAATTTGCTTGCATAATGGATTTTCAAACATAGTAAAAATTTACTTTAAGGCAAGCACAATTCTTTGACTTTTCATTTGAAACAAAATGCTTTTGTTTTAATACGCAATACACATCTGCTTCACGATGGTGGCGCTCTTGAACAAGTGTGATTGGCTATTTCAAGGTAATCAGTCATCTTGCCCAGATAACGCTCTTAGGTTTTTATTTGTAAAAGCTAATTGGTTAAAATTCAATATAATGATAAACAATTTTTTTTAGAAAATTACTGTAACTGTTTTTGTTTTCAGTGAAACGATATGTTCGAAAAGGCATTCCAGGTGAGCATAGGGCAGACGTGTGGATGGTCGTAAGTGGCGCAAGCTTCCATATGTCCAACAACACAGGCTTGTACCAACGATTACTGAATGGTCCAAAGGACCCTAAACTTTGCGAAACCATTCAGATAGGTATGGGTGTATAATTACTACTTTTTATTTATGTTTAAAATTTTTCTCGCATTGTACATGCCAGTTATACAGAATAGAACAGGTACCCTTGATACTTGGGCCTCATCATGAAATTATAATGAAGTTGAGCAGATTATTAACACATAGTCTTGGAACTGGAAGGCTAGAATCTTACCTACTAAGTATTGATACTTTCTCAGTGGGGTACGGTCCTTCAAATTATGGAAACAATGAATTTGGCTACAGAGCGATGTAGTTACTAGGATATGGGTCTACAAGGGTTGTGGTTATCATTTTTATCTATTTTATAATATTATTCATCTCTATTTAGTCTATTTTTAGTTATGCGTTGTTTAATATAAGTGAATTTTGAATCCTATAATGTAAATAAATACAGAGAACGGTTCAGCAGTAGTTTACTATGGTGCATGTTCATGTGATGCAAAAGTAGTTCTATGGGCATTAAATTGAAAGGTTGTGGGTTTGAGTCATAATTTGGTCATTTGGTTAGTGATTATGTCCTTTGGCAAGATGATTTATATATATGCGTCTATACTTCTCAAATGTTAATGTCTATACCTGGTAGGAGATGAATGATTTTGGAATGAACTTGGCCAACCACTGAATTACATTCACTGCAGGAGTAGTGACCTGTGATCTCAAGGAAATTAAAAGAGGTTGCAGCACATTACACATGATTGAGTCTGTATTCAGCATTTCTTCCTGAAACGGACAGCACTATATATCCTAATAACAAAATTAACAAAATTGCAAGGTACAAGGTGGAAGGATCAGGATAGAAGAATTAATTAACTTTGGCTCACCAATTAATTACTACGTTAACATCTGGGACTTTATCGATACACAAATAATTAATTTTATTCATTTTATTAATAAGGTTACATTATACAAACATCTCAATGCTCTGAAAATATTGATTAAATGCAATTTATTTTTCTACATCAGTCTTTAGGGAATGTGCATCCAATAGAACAGTCCATATACTTATAGAAGGGGAGTTGAATAGCTTAGTGGTTAAGATGCTTGCCTTCTAATCCCAGGATACTGGGTTCAATTCCTGTCACAACAGGCTTTTCCTTAAGACTAAAAACAGCTCCACTTTCTAAGCCACATGAAGAAACTTAAGCCTGGTTGCCTTTAAATCGCTACACTATCGCTACAGTGTTTTAAGTGCATTCTTTGTTCTGTGTAGCGGTCCCCGATGCAATCAGGAAGGCTCCCCAATTCGACCGACCAATCAGAACCACCAAAAGCTGTTGGCAATAACATGTAACGATTGTATGTAAACCTAGTTTTAGTTTATAAAGCATGATGAATTCATTTTGTAATTACTAAGTTATTTGCTGAAAATTTCAGCCTTTGGCTGCTTTTTTACATGTATTTGTTCTCTTGAATAAATATTTTTAAAAAAAAGGGAAAAAAATTAATTTTAGAGTTTCCATATTTAAAAATTGTGTATACCTTGATTATTTATATTTGCTCACATTTCTTCATCAAAAATTCTCAGAAAACGTTTAATAATTGGACCTTGAAGTACTACATGAACATCTTAAATGTTTTGATAAAATTAATTTAATTATTTTTCTTGCAGATCTTCACCGAACATTCCCAGAAAACATTTTCTACTGTAATGATGCTGCGGAAAGTAAACGTCCGTCCTTACAGAATGTACTGACAGCGTATGGACACCACAACCCAGCGGTAGGCTACTGCCAAGGCATGAACTTCATCACTGCTCTTATGCTGGTCATTGTCCAAGATGAAGAGAAGTGCTTCTTTCTCCTTGATGCCCTCCTAGGTAGTCTGCTTGAGCCAGGTTAGTGACTCATCATCATTATCATCGCTGACATCATTGTCATCCTCATCGCTGCCATCATTGTCAACCTCATCGCTGCCATCATTGTCATTCTCATCGCTGCCATCATTGTCATCCTCATTGCTGCCATCATTGTCAACCTCATCGCTGCCATCATTGTCATTCTCATCGCTGCCATCATTGTCATTCTCATCGCTGCCATCATTGTCATCTTCATCGCTGCCAACATTGTCATCCTCATCGCTGCCTCATTGTCACCATCATCGCTGCCACCATCATAAACTTCACCATTATCATCATTCTCCAGCATCATCATCAATATCATCATCTTCATCCATCATTTTTCATCATACATTATGGAATTAGAAATTTTGGCTAGACACTAGTCGGATTTGAACCATAGTCATTAATTTCAGTTTGTAACTTTCTTGTTTGTCTAGTATATTGAAGTTTCTCCTTTATATAATTTACAATTATAATATTAATAGTTATTGTGGCTATGATGTCTTACAGGGTACTACTCTGAGGACCTGATTGGTACCAAGGTGGAGCAAGGCGTTCTGATGGAATTACTTAAGCTGAAGATGCCGGACGTTGCGGCCCACATTGAGAAGCATGACTTAGAGTTGTCACTTCCAACAACCAAGTGGTTTATCTGCTTATTCCTTGATGTGTTGCCCATTGAGGTAGGTTTACTTTGAAAGTTGTATATTATTTTCTCTATTGAGATACTCGTGGTCAGTTAGCTTCAGGTAGACAAGTAATAACACTCTAGTAAAAATATGCAAACATTCTTGATTTGCAAGGTACAATTTAGTTTCGGCTTTCCAGAGGATTTTGGCTTGCTTCGAGAAACACTGTGCTGGTTTCTGGGGACTCAAGGAGACACGAAACCCCTGTTAATTTTATATGCTGCTTTCACAGCAGATCAGCTATGACCTGTACGGCAGTGTAGGGGATATTAATAAAGTCCCCTAACAGCATTTATCCCTGATCGCTATTGGGAAATCTTTTGTAAGAATGGTGATATTGTTAGATGATGATAATGATTATAAATATTACTTCATTCACAGACTGTTCTCCGTATCTGGGACTGTATGTTTTATGAGGGGTCAAAGGTCATCTTCCGTGTCGCCTTGGCACTTATCAAGCGCAACATGGAGGAAATTTTAAGAGCACAATGTTTTTCATCGTTGATTGAGGCTTTTAAGAAGAGTACACTGAGCTCAGCAAACTTGGATTGTCATGAGTTCATGCAGGTAAGAGTGTTTTTCAAATGACAATGACAAAATATTTGACAATGACAATAATCTTTTTCCTGGAAAATTTATATGTGGTCTGCTATATTTATTTGTGAAATTAAATTCATACAGAAAATTAAGCAGATAGGTTATGTGATTAATGCATTACATCGTTCCATTATGTAATTGGCGAGTGATTTGAAAGAAATAATAGGATATGTTGACACCAGGGCGTTCTTTAAACCCTGTCCAAACTATGGCTATGTTCTAACACGGCTGCTAATGGTTAGCAGGATCCGGATCCTGCTAACCGTTAGCTGCCGTGCGTCCATACGAGAAAATCCCGATCCGGATACCAAAAATATGATGATCGATTCACTGGCCAATAAGAAACTGGAAATTGTAAACGCATATGTGTGATTGGTTGATGATAGAAACACGCCCAACTTGCTAACCGATAGCGCTTGCTAACTGTTAGCGGTATCTAAATACTGCTAACGGTTAGCGCTAACCCCTAGTGGAGTTAATAGCTTGGTGGTGGAGTTGAATAGCTTGGTGGTTAAGATGCTTGCCTTCCAATCCCATGGTCCTGGGTTCAATTCCTGTCAGTGTTGCAGGATTTTTTCTCATGACCAAAACAACTTCACTCCCTAAATCTCATAATGAGATTTAGTTTGTGAAAAGCATCGTGTGTGTGTATGTTTGTCTTGTGTAAGGGATTGTCGCCTAGGACAGTGATATATTCTCTATTGACAATCCTTGGCACATGTATTGTGTGCCTAAATAAATAATAAAAATTAATATAAAAAATAAAACTGATCGGGCGTTCTCACACAGGTGCTAACGGTTAGCTCCCGATCCGGATACTGGGGCTCTCGTGAGAACCAGGCTTATCACATTTTATTTGACAAAAAAATATGACATACCTAAGTATGGTCATGATGACATCATACCATGATCATATATATAGATGTACAACACCTTTTTTTATCAAACAAAATGTAATAATATGGAAAAAGCTTTACACATTATTCCTCATTTTAATAACGAAATAATTTTCATTTCTCCCCAGATTGCCTTCAGAGAGCCACTTACAAGAGCCACGCTGAATAAATTGAGGCAAGAAGTTAGGGAGAGGTTAAAAGAAGAACAGCGTTGAGTATAAACAAAGTAGCCATCCAATATTATTTGACATTCAACATTTGTGTTGTTGCATTCATACAAAGGCTCATGCATATTCACAAGCTGAGCTTTATTCAGAGATACCAAGTGACATTGAGATTGGTGACAAAATAATGAAATATCCTACAAAAATCATGAAATTTCTTACAATATATATTTTTGAAAATTAATTAGAAAACATCAACCATATGGTAAGGCAACTAGTTGTTGTGATTGAATGTTTTTACGGTTATGTCATGTGATTATTTATCTGGTGACAGTTTAATAATCTGTCACAGAGAATTCAGTGTCACCAGTGATAAGTGAGTCATTATTTGTCAAATGTTAGAGGCAGATGAAATCATATTACTATCCATCCACAGAAAAAAAAAAGCAAAACCTGATTGAAAATGGCATATTACATTCACCTGTGACGGCAGTGGTGAAAACATGACAATTGATGATGTCACCAACTGTTGTCCCCTATTGTCGGTGATGTCAGCTTGACAGATGATGTCATTAAATGTTTTCTCTCTTATCAATGATGACAGCTGATGATGTTACCAACTGTTTTCCCATCACCAATATGTTTTCTCTAAAACCTTTTAAATATTTTTTTAAAGAAACTGTTATAAATATCAAACTAGCATGTCTTATTTTGATATCAGAATCATGAAATTTATTTCCACTATTTTTGTGACATGTGACAATTAAAATTTGTTTGCCACATAGAATTGTTATAGTTAGAGTACTATACCAGGAGAAATGATCCCTCAAAATCATGCCAAGATTGGTAGGAACAGTTTCTCATGACAGTGGTATTGTGGGTATTCAAAACACCAATTTTTTTTTTGATTGACTGATTGAATTTGTTCGATGCTCAACATACACATACAAAAAACTTACGAGCATCAGGAATGTCCATTCGGCCAGGAAATTTAAGCCAGGGAAACGTTGATTGCCTAAAATGCTATGAACTTGGATGACTAGTTATCTGGTCTTACTGATAGCATTCTATTATAACTACTCAATAAGTTGTTGTATTCAAATTGCCTGCCTATGATTCCATGTTGTAGGTACGTACATTAAGTAAGCCTCTGAAGTGGTGAATCCAGGAATCCAAAATTGAGGGGGGCCGAGGGAGGGACTTTCACAGATAGGGAGTCCAGACCACCTGAGCCCCACCATTATTGGGGCCGTCCCCCTTGAATTTGCACATGGGCCAAGGATCAATAGTGAATATATCACTGTATTATTATAAGTGGCAATCCATGCAAACAATCTACAATATACAATCTATACATGCACACAAGATGCTCTGTATAACTAAGTATAATTATGAGACTTGGGGGATAGAGTTGCTTTTGGCCATGAGGGAAAAATCCTGTTATTATTTTACAGGATTTGACCACAGGATGCTGGAATTATAGGGCAAGTGACAACCCCATGTGCCACATCATATTTTGCTATTTTTACCTGAAAACATTTTCTTGTGACTTAATTGTCTACTGAAATCTTGTCACTTTGCTAGAACAAATATTGATGTTCTTACGATGGAGATAGGAACATGTTTTAATGTTAGCATTTCGGTTGGTTTGGTGCCCTCGTAGTTAAGTCATTGTGGTGTCTCATAAAGTGCAATATACAAACGTAAACATTCTTTTTAATTATATAGTTACTAGAAATTGACAGTTTGACTTAATAATAGTTGGTTATCCATTGACACTCAGATACCTACAAACTATTTTTGTATCCCAGGTTTGTGACTAATGATATATTACAATAGCGCCCTCTGTTGCTGGAACTTACTGATATAGAACCCTCTATGCATGTACTGTACACCTATAATATTATTTCTATTAATATCTTATGGTGCACTTTCCAACAATAATTAAATATAAGAATGTGTTTTATTTTTATTGATGACCATCGTCTGATATTTACAAAGCATAAGTTAGATAAGTGGATTTCCTAAAAATTTATCATTGGTTGCTGTGGTTCACCTCTACCGTTAATAATTTTTAAATGTTAATACCAAATTCATTAGCATATTCCAAAACATCAAAAGTTTGTCATGTTTTTTAGTTTTCACAAAACTTTACATAATGAATATAAAGATAATAAATATAATTATAATAATAATAATTAGTAGTAGTATTACATTAGAGCACTGTAAGGTTATAATGTTTGAAGTGTGAAAATAAGAGTTGATTTTAATACTGGGAAAATCGATCAAAATCATCTCTGCAAGCTACGCTTCCCCCTGCTTTTCCCACCCAATTGCACCGAAATTGTGGATAAAATCTTTCACTTCTAATAAATAGTATTTCTATACCAAGTTATATAATAAAATAAACAAATAAATAAAATTAATTTACCACAAGCTACGTTCCACATCTCTTGCCCACCCAAACCGAAATCCTGCTTAAAATTGATCACTTGTAATGAGTTATAGTATTTCTATTATACCAAGTGGTTAAAGTATGCTATATATAAAGGCAGTCAGATTACAATAGGTAAAACAATGTTATTTCCCCTCGAATATACATGTACCAAACGTCCAACAAAGTTGCTTACTCATGGATTACGCTTAAGTGCTGCTGATGCCAAAGCCTGCAAAAATAATGGTCCGAGTGATCGTACATCAACCTTGACTTATAAAAGCGATAACATATTTTCCTCCATTAATTTAGTTTTCTATAAAATATACAATGTTATTTTTATATCTTTAGTTAATATGTTAAATACAGCTGATTATGTAGCTCTGTAACAACATATTATTTTCAGTTTTTTGTATTATTTTTGGTACAGAACAATATTAGCATCCATCCAAAAAATATAATGCATTTTTATATGCATTATATTATATACAATATTTGTATTGTATAATGTTTGCTATTTGTTTACTGATTTAAAAATAGTTCAACTGTAAATGCAGGTTCAGTATTAGGGATTGTTACCATCTTCTAGTCTCCTACAATGTAAAATAATATGAACTAATGCATATTCATAAGCCTACATCATAATATGAACTAATGCATATTTATAAGCTTACATCATAAATATTCATATTTGGTTAGGATTAGTATAAAGCTCTGTCCAGACAATTAAATTTAATTTGACAAAAACATGTGACATACCTAAATATGGTCATGACATCACATCATGACCATATATAGGCACATCATAACTATATATGGGCATACAACAGTTTTTTGTCAAGAAAATATGATAGTGTACAGAGCTCAGCTCAGGACGATCAAGAAATATTCAATAATTTTACATAAGGCAAGAACTTTTTATACCTTTGTTTCGCAAACTTATTTTTTTCATCATCATCAGAGAACAGAAAAAAAATAAAATGCTTTAAATTGATATAATTAGGAATAAATGTATAAATATCTTTATTTTTGAAGATTTCAATGCAGCAGTGGGCGTAATCAAAATAATAAAGAAAAAACTTTTATTTCCATTTTTTTCATGACAGTGAGTGCACTAATTTGCCAAAAATAAAATTTCATTCTTTAATTGAAATCATCATTGGCAGGCAGCAGGTTTGCTAAACAGTGTATAAAAAGTCTTGTCTTAAGAATGTACTGTATTTTATTTCATCTACAGAGAACTAGAACAACAAATATTTTACTTTGCTATTTCATATTGCTGTGAATCCAATGGACGTACAACCCAAAGAAAAAAATCAAGCAAAATAATAATGTACATAAATATAGCTATATCATAATGACTATTAAACATGTAATGTATCAGTAGTAATAATTTGTACGACAATATGTATAGTTTTAATATAGAGTGATAGATATCGTTGATAATTCGTCTTGTAAAGTGCGTATGTCCATTTCGTGTTAGCTGCAAAACTTTATAGCAAAAAAAGTAATTAATATACTATGGTAGTACCCAGCCTACATTATAGATTACCCCTTCACAACCAAGTGTGCACCTGGGGAATTGGTACTCTATGAATTTAGTCCAAGATTAACAATGATTATATTATTTATATTAAAATATTCTTTCATTTAGTGTAATCTTATTTGAAGCATAGTTAAGAGCTGTCCATTCGAAAGCAATAATATCTAAATACTAATTGTCTTTTGTTTGTGTTATCAAATGATGTATTTACCTTTTCAATTTAGTAGTTGTTAAGTATTATTGAGTACTTATGAATATTAATTAGTGAACATTACTGACCAATCAGATGCGAGTATTGTATGTATTTACATGTTGATGTTAATGAATGTATGTAATGTGTAGTTTTCATGAAGTGATTTATAAAGTCAACACAACATAGGTAACTGTTAAACCAGATTGATATAGATAGTATTAAACAGGTGTATACAAGCCCACCACAGGTGTGTCCCAAACATTAGACAGGTGTCAGTGACACTTTGAATTTTATTTAATATCATTTTTCGATTTAGTTTGTAATATATTTACTGCGGTCACTGACCAATCGAAAGTACTACTTTTCCCAAGACAATTGTAGTTAATGTACAAAAATTCTTACTGAATATTTGTTTTTTGTTTTCAATTTAATTCTATACTTTGCTGTATTATTTTGTTTCTGTTATAAATAATATTGCCATTATCTGATCACAATTTACAGTTTTCTATATTTATTATAATTATGCTAATTAGTACTATAATGCAGTTTATTATGATTATTAATGTGATACCAGTGGTGGATTTCAGATATCCATTCATCGGAGGGGGCCTAATCTATTTATCAGAGGTCGGAACATTTCTGGTGAAGGTTCAGTGGGGCCACTTTGCCTCAGTTATGGCCCAGGGGAAAAGTCCTAATGGGGGTCCAGCTGGCCGTATAGAAAAGAAGTTTGGGAGTGTATTAGACCTATGTCGAAAGAATAAAAGGGGCCTTGGCCTGTCCGTTAATGGACTTAACTCCCAACTATACCATTGTTATCATTAATTATTATATTATTATTTATTATTATAATTAAGAAAAAATTATGAATACTAAACAGTAGGTGTTAGTATAAAAAGTATTTAATTGTACAATTATTATCATTTGTTTTTGTTAATGGTATTATTATTATCAATATTATTTTTCATGATAAAAATAATTATTATGTAATATGGCAATTTTACACCATTTCAGCATCTAATTTTAATTTTGTTTAAATTATATACATTGCGATATTTATATAGCACTATTCCATAAAGATCAGAGCAATTTTTTTTTTTTTTATTAAAAAACTATAGCCATGAAATACTTCTAACAGAAGGAAATCAGAGAAAAATAAATATAACCACGTACAGTACAGGGAACCAAAACCACAGTATGAACCATTCCCTGCTATTTAGTAAAAGGTATATTTATGAATAAGAATCTGGAATATCTATTCCACTATTCACATTTTGTCATTTAATGCGATAAAAAGATGATTATTGTCAATTTAAGATTATCTTGTCTTTTTTATAAGAATATATGTACAATCTTTCTGTACTGTTCAAAAAATGATGAAAAGGGGATAAACTATAGAAATGATCATACAATATTTAAAACAATCACTGGTGTAAAATAAAAGGGGAGGGGGTGCAAATATCTGAAAGTTAGTTTTGCTGAGTGGGTTAAAATGACAATTTAGTGATTTTTTTCCCCGCATTCTTAATTTTCGCACCAAACCCCTCCCCCAAAACCAGCCTATGCCCCGTGAACAGTTTTTACATTACCCTTGAATTCATACCGGGTAATTTAGTGATTTCACTTGTTCAGATTTATTGGCATATGGACAATGGTATTATACATCTTATATATATGTTGATTTATTTGAGAGTATATATTTTGTTTAATCTTTAGCTTAAATAAATTTTTGTGAGTTGTATATATTTTCCTGATGCATTCCATCCTTTGGTAGATTCAGGTTCCCTTTGTCAATAAATTTCAAACAATTGCAAAACTGATGAACTGTTATGTTTTATTTGTGTTAAGAAAGATAAAAGGATAATGATTTTGGCAAGTCAAATGCCTGAGGGTTTATGGAAGGGGTTATGCAACGTACAGCCATAATATCGTGCTGGCTCAAACAGCATGCTCGTCTAGTGTTCTTGTGGTTTATTCCGATAAGAACTATAAACTACGCCCATGTGAACTATAAAGAATTCAGTACATATTTGAAAGACAAGTTGGGGGTTCACTGTGTACTGGTCTATACATCCCCTAGCTGGCACTGGAATGGAATGACCCTTAGGGGAGAAGGCAGTACTGTACAAGCTAGTCCACTCCTCAAGTGCTTTGAGTATAAAGCAACAGACATATATTAAGTAATGTTAATAGTGTCATAATAAATTGGTTTACTTTTATACCTCCCTGCTGAGACTACTTATATATAATATGAATATCAATGCAGGTCAACTATGTTCTTTCAATTAAGATTTTTTGCACCACTTATTACATCACTTACATATGGTAAGCATAATAATATTCTGCAGTATTGTAACCATAATTAAACACAGACTTGAAGAAAAGGGGCCAAAAGCCAGAAATTTTATCATAATTTTATTAATTTCAGCTGAAAGTTGTCATAGCAGACAGGTTGTTTTGTAATTGTCAGTGCCAGTTCTTTTATACAATATATCATTGCCAATGTCAAGACTTCATAGTATCTACTGTACGTACTGTGTACACAACTACACGATTGCTATGAAAGTATTATACAGTACACAGTACTTGTGATCCTGTGTACTACACACTGGTACATAGTGCCTACATATGATAGACAGTATCAAATTACCTGTGTGTAGATCATGGGTACTATTCAATGGTAAACAGTGCCTACATAAATTATCATTATCAGTGGCAACAATACAGACACTATACATTATAGTACTGTATGTATTTAATTATACAGTAGTATAGTATGTAGATAGTGTTTATATCCTGGGTACTATACACTGGTAAACAGTGTCTAGATACTATAAGACAGAACCGGTACCAAGATCCACACCAGTACACTGTGCCTACATACTGTTAGACAGTACACAGTTCCTAGATCCTACCATGGAGGAAATATATATCCTCCATGATCCTACCGACTGCACAGTACCTGTGCTTTTGGATTACCTAGAAACAGTAAAATACTTAGATACAGTACATGGTTGAGCCTAGAAACTGGATACTCACAGTACCTTGATCCTGAATATCAGTATATGTACACAGTACCCAGACTAGCTGCTGAATATCAATATATAATGGTATTTTTACCAGCGAAGAGATTACGTATGTACAGTGTTGACGTATAAACGACGCTGGATACTTTTGTACTCTAGTCATGTATCTAGAATGTGGTTATCAATTCACTTCTGGTATATTATCCACTGTTAAGTACACATTGCATTTTTTGTAAACATCCCAAAATATTTTGTACATAAGACCAGCACCCTCAGGGGTTGCACATTGTAAACACAAGGGACTGTCTACCAAATTTATCTTAAAATCTATATAAGTAGGAGGCTGGAGGTTCAATTAACATCAATCAACTGCAAAAATTAACATAATGTTAATCAAATATTTATAGCCAACAATCGGTTGAGCAGAAGCAAAACCGATTATTTTATCAGTGAGCACTTTTCCTTCTTTTTTTTTAGTGAATCTACTCACTTATTTCTTCTTTCTATTTAGTTATATTTTTTTCAGATCCGTTCTTGTATATTTTGGGCACAATATAATAATGAAAGTGGGACTGCAATACAGTGAGTTCAACATTTTTTTTATTCTCAACCATTAATAAGCAAGTTGTAAATGTGGCTATAGCTCTGTCCTATGATCTGCCCATATGTGCAAATATCTCATGTTTGCCCATATATGAATATATGACATCATCACATGAGCAGACTACAGATATTTGCCCATATATGGGTATATGACATCATCATGCCCATATATGGGCAAATTAGAGATTTTTTTCACATAAAGATAAATGTGTTGAGAGCTTTACTTACTCTTTCCTTTGAGACTTTAAATACAATTTTTACCATCAGTGTTAGTGACGATGAATACAGTTTAAATTTTATTACAGTACTAGTATCACACATGCATATTTCAGAGGAAACTTCTTTATAAGCTACATATTATTTTTGGTGAAGTTGCATAAACATAATTTATGTAACCTGAATTTTTAAACTTAAAACCAAACTCTGTCATGTTCACAAATGTACCATATAGTAAAAAACACCATTAACTTCTTCAAAATATTTAAATGTAAGCTTCGGTTCATTTTGATTCCTATCTGAATTTACATGTTATATAGCGATGAGGGCGCTATTCAGCAAGGTGGATTCCAGATACTCCTAAACTACAATTACAGACTGATATGTTAACACATTCATTCGTGAAAAACTAAAGGCAACAATCATTTCAACACTGGATGGATAAACAAAGACAATTATGAAAAATTGATGAGTTTTTATGTTCAATTTGGTTTAGAATTACTATAAACAAAGTTGTTTTCCAATGAAAATCAGTAATTTTAAGAATATTTTGTTTATATTAAGATGCAATTATTACACTAGTTTCATCATCTTTCACAATGTATCAAAAATTTGACCTAACACTTATTTTTTTTTTGTACAGTTCTGTTTACAAATATTTCAAAAATGGATCAAAAAACCGGAAGCTGAGTGAACAAAACAGTAAAAATTATCTTCTTGGCAACAAAGAGAAATTAAAAAAATTTAGATATAATGTTCTTGCATTTAGAATGACTAGACCTACTAATTGACGGACATAAAATTTTGCAAAGCACTATATTACTAAATGTGTTGGGCTGATTTTTGTGACGTTCAAGTTAGGTACACGTGTATGAAGCAATGTGAAATCTGTCACTGATACTAATAGAATTATAGTCAACAACAATTGTTGAATTCATATCTAGAAAAAGAATCTATTTTTTAGTATTTACATTATTATTTTGTAGGTTTTGTGCTTCTTGTTGAGAAAGCCTCACTACAATGAATGCAAAATTTTGATGGTTACAGTTGAGGGCTTTAAACATTTTATGACCTTGAAATAAATTTTGAGAAAAAAAAACGTTTTACAGGAAAATCCAGTGGCAGCTCAGATGGTACAACAGACCAACTTGGAACAGGGGAGATAATATTTTTCTCCAAGTACTTTATATATTAAAATGTGTTGTTAATACATATTGCTAAACACTTCAAACATATGCTTAACAGCAATTTAAATGTGTAGATTTTTGTATAGGCCATGCTCACATGAACTGATTCTTGTATTTTGAACACCTTTAGAATTTACTTAGCATGCTCAAATTAACCCAACCATATATTTTGAACACCTGCAAATTTTAATTATTATAATATATGTATTTCTTTAACAATAATAATGAGGATAGCTCTTCTGTAACACGGAGCACGCTCGCATAAAATCATTCTTGTATTTTGAACACTAGATTATCACTGAGCATGCTCACAAAAACCAGTTGCTAGTATTTTGAACATCAGATTTTTAATAAGTATGCTTATACAAGAACCATATGCTTGTATTTCGAACACCTGCAAATTTTACTAAACATGCTCACAGGAGTATATGCTTACATTTAAACACCTGTTATTTTAACTGTAATCACCAATAAACATCTGCAAGTTTTTAAAGAATATTTGAAATAATCTATAGTAAAATAGTTCAAGGAAAACTACAAAATTATTATAAACTGACCATCACAATGTTTCCCAACATTGTGTGCTTTCCTCAGCTTCCAGAAAATCAAGAACCCTGTAGGTACTATAGAAAATAAAGGCATTGCAAAGGATGTTGCTGACACATTTTGAAAGGTGAAGATGCATTTATTGCACTCAAGGTCCATTAACCTATCTCTGCTTACAAAAATGTCAAACCAAAAAAAAAAAACAAAAAAAATTGGAAATTAAGAAATCGCAATGTAATGAAAACTTGGATCGGATACTTATACACACTACTTACAAGACGTGGTGATAACCACAAAAATATACCAACGCATACTGCTATACGGTGCCATTGACTAATTTAGGAGTGTTACTCGCTGATTCAGAGCTAGTCTCTTTTGCTTTGGCCTTATTTACTGCAGGTTTATTTTCTTGACTTGACACACCATTAACCTTTGATAAATTTGATTGTTTCTCCTCTTTTGGTTTTCTATCTTGCCTAGGAGGACGTGGATCCCGCTGCTGCCGAGGTCCGTTTGATATGTTTTTACCAGATGGCGGCTTGCTGTTGTTTTCGGTTACTGCTGGACTCGACTCTTCGGTCCTCTTACCCTCCATGGGTGGCTTCTCCGTACGCTTAAATGAGTCTTTACGGTTTGACCGATCATCGCGTCTTATTTTTCCATCACGAAAGCTATCACCACGGCCGTCTTCACGTTTGAAAGGAGCTCCGCCTCTTCGATCACGGTAATTATAGTTCTTAGACTTATTATCCTCTATTTCTTTGGGAGCTGGTGCCTCATCATGGCCACTAGAGGGAGGCACTCCATTGTTTTCTTCCTTCAAGTCTTGCATAGTATTTGAGTTACGATTCCTGTTATTATTCTTCCTCGGCCTCCTTTTTCGCCTTCCTCTTCCTGAATTATCTGAGTTAAATGAAATAATGTTTAATGATAAATTTTGGATACTCTTATTAAAGAAATTCAAAGGACCAAATTTTTGAGGAAAGAATAAACACAATGTAATTTTTATTTAACGTTTTCTTCAGTAGCTGTTAAATAGTTCTATATATATTCTTACATTGATGTTTCTAATTAGGACTAACATTCACTTGGCTCTGGTCTAAATGAAATTTGTTCAGCTAAATATTAGATTACATTAAAAACAGGATTTAAGTTCTTACCATCAGTATTTCTTGCATCCTCGTCAGCCGTTCGGTCTTCTAAGATCGTGTCTTCATCAGCATATTGGCGTCGATTCTCGTTATAGGTATTGCCATCATCCTCAGTCTCTGAGGGCAGTACTCGCTCACTACCACCACCTTTTAAAAGGGTAAGGAAATGTTTGAAATTGAGAAGGTATGTGTGTGAAAGCTCACCAATAGTAATCGATATCGCAATTGTCACCCGTTGCTATTGGGTGCTACAATCTTTATTATTACCGATTACCATGGAATCAAATCGCAACAAATCACAACAAATTCCACAGGCACTGATTGGCTGAGGTCATTCAACATAGCCCTAGCCACCTTAGTAGTAACGTTTGACCTCCTATTAGAATATAAAGTGTGATTTGTTCTGAATGCACACTTTGATTCCGATCGGGAGTAATCAGTTTTGCATTACCAACAATTACATAGCAACAGAGGGAAGTTTGAATATAACCAACTATCATGCAATTAAATATGACTTGAGCATTTCTTATACAAGTTTTATTCATTATTATTAATACCTGCAGTATATCTTCCACTGTCTTGAAAGGGGTACCGCCTGTAAGAGCCCCTTCCTCTACCTCGTCCTCTGCCTCGTCCCCTTGCCATTCCACCACCACCACCTCTTCCGCTATATGAGGATGAGTCACTATGGTTTACTTGATCGGCCCAATCGCCAGATTGAGAAATTCCAGTATCTTTTTCTGATCCACTGTATGCTGAATCTAACAGAAACCATATTAAATTACAAGAAACCAAATCATTTTTTGCAGCCAATTTTATGCCTTTTTTTAACCAACACACTTCATTAAATTATTTATGATGTAATAAGGGACTGTGAAGGTGGATATGCTTATTGGGTGATTTTAATTCAATGTGCTGGACCACTGAAACAGATGTAATAAATTAAAATTATGCATCTCATTTTTAGTATTTGTGTACTTACCGTATCTATCGTTATTGAATCTACCTCCTCGGGAAACACGCCCTCTACGACCACCTCTACCTCCGCCACCTCTGCTGGATGTGCTCTCCTCCGAAAAGTCGGAGCCATAACCCCTGTCTCCTTTCCTTTCTCTAGGGGGTGGGAAGTACGGTCCGGCAATGTATCCTGCACCAAGACTTCTTAGTTGTTCATCAATCTGAAGCTTTTCCAATCTAAGTTGTTCTACTTCCTAAAATAACATTAAAATTGCAAATATTTTTATTCATTTTATTTTTATTTTATTATATTTCACTTCATCCAACAGTGTAAATGCCAATAACAGGGAGCATAAATACAACACATTATAAATATTTAATATACAAATGAACTTTTTTTCCCATCATTATAGCAATATTTAATTCAATTATATATTTCTTCATATTTATTAATTAATATTCAGGTATAAAAAAAGTACAAATACCAGATATTTTTGTGGGTGAATGTGAACATTCAGAATTATGTTAAACATTATAAAATATAATAATACTATTTAGTCTAATACAAATACCAGATAAATTGTAACATTCAGAATTATGTTATTATATATCATAAAATATAATATTATTTAGTCTAATACTGTACATACTGCACATAATTTGATGAAAACCAATAAAATTTTTTTAGTACATTAAATTATTTTTGAATTTAGAAAATTATAGTATCAATGTATTCAGAAATAATTTTTATTTATTTTCAATATTTTAGAGATTGGCTTAAACAGCAAGATCAGGCTTTTACATCATTAATATTCTACTATGAATATCTTTATCATTATATTATTATCATCATTGTGATAATTAAACCAATCAAAATACAAGAAGAGATTATGACTGTACCGACCTTAAGATGTCCAACGTGGTATTCTAGTAGGACTTTGGCATTACCAATATTTTCTTTAGTACCAACGAACAGGAAGGGTACCGTAGTACAGTTGTCAGTACTTCCGCGTTCATTGTCTCCTTCTATTTTAATGCGTACTACACCAGACTTGTCAACAATTTCTTGTATAACTCGTCCATTTCTTCCAATTACTTTACCTAATGAAGAAAAAAATATTTAAAAGATAATCTAAATTTAACATCTAATGTTATAATAGAATTACAAATTCATTATTCCAACAAACTGAGGAAAAAACTAGAAAAAACTGTTTATAATATAATGCCGTGGCATTTCTGTAAAGGCTATCCCAGCTGTTGAACACAAAAAAAGCTGATTGCATGTCTCCATTAATATAGTATATAATTTTCGTAGAGATCAAAATGCTTCCAACACTGCATGCCAAATCTAAAACTAATCTTTAGTTTTGTAAAGCCACACATTCAAACCATACATTAGGCTTTTGCCGGGGGAAATGCTGGTAAGTGAATTTTTCTCAAAAGGTACAACACTCCAAAACAAATAAATACAGTAGAAAATCTTTATTACATTTACACTATACACAATCAACATTCCTGATGATGACATAATTAATGTTGAAATATTGAGTCCCAACACGATGGCGTGCATTTCAATACTTGCAGTATGTATTATACTTTCCCATCAACTACTGTACAATAAACTACACAAAGGTTGTAGGCAAATTACAACAAACAAGAGAAAGTGACTTAAATAGAATTAGTCTTACCTATTAGCTCTCTTGGCACTTCAAATTTATCTTGAATAAATTCTAATTTTGCCCTTGCAGCTTGAACTGCATCTTCAGTCTAAAAATTAGAAACAAGTTTCAGATTTGAACATTTTTTCCCATTACTATATTGAACTTTATTTTTTACAGATCTGTAGCTTGACTGAAACAGACCATTACCCTTAAAAAAAGGCACTAAGTTATTATCCACATTATTTATGTGAATTTTGTGTGTATTGCCCATATATAAACAGGACGTCATCACATCCATATATGGACGTGATGGAATCTAACAGCCATACATGGAATTTTGTCATATCTTACCCATATATGCCATTTCACTGGTATTTCTCACAGGGAATTTTATAGTGTGTATTGTACATATAAATGTGCATTGGTCAAACAAATAAATGAATGAGAGCTTTATACTTACATCACCAAATATTCTAAAGGTACAGGTATGTTCATCAAGGTCTATTCTCTTAACGCCCGACATGTTGCGTGCTTCGGTGATGTTGACTCCGTGAGCTCCAATTGCGAGTCCCATCAAGTCCTCGGAAACAACAAACTCTTCCATACAACTTTCTGTTTGTTGCTTAGTGACCTATTTAAATAAATCAAGAAAACATTCAAACATTTTAATTTAAACCTTGTAAATGACATTACATATGGCATTTTTTGTTATTTCAAACAAGAAAGTAGATGCAGATTTTAACATCAGGGAACAAGCCCACTCCAACAGAGGGAAAAAAAAGGATGACCAAATATCAATTACATTAATAAACTGAAAAGACAACATAGAAAACACTAGAGAGATAAAAAATTAGGAAGGTGTAACAAACCTCAAGTTGTTGGGCAGCTTCCTCGGTACGTTGCATTAACATTATCTTTGTACGTAGACTACGGAAATGCATCTCACTTAGAAGCTCTGCTTTCCTAACTGACTGGATTGAATAACCCTGTGGGAGATTTGAACAAATGCTTAAGCACTTATATATGTTAGACATACTTTTAAACAATTCTTTTGAAAACAAAGATTAGTACTTACAATGACGACAAGAGATTCTGTTTTATCATCGTAATGTACAGACATCACTCCAGATGACTTGACTAACTCTCGATGATGTTGATCATTTTCAGAGCTGAATGAACGAAAACAAATATAACATTTATCATAAGGAAAATAATTTCTATTCTGTCTAGCTAATCTCTATGTGAAATATGGAAACATGACATATATATATTAGTCTTTGAAAAGAGAAATTTATGCCTTTGGTTTTTTAGTACAACATAGTGCGTGAACATGTTCAAGAAAGCTATAATAGAGATATATATAAGAATGTCAAAGGCCAATAATTTATGGCCATAGAAAAATCGCTTAAACTTAAATTAAATTGAAAAGTCACTTACTATGAACGCAGGTCTTGTGGTACACTTATAGTTGCTTTATTGAATGTGTTGCTGGAGATGGGTGGACTGTGGGTGGAAAGACAGCAAATATATGAAGTACTATCAGTGTATGCAGACTGTTTTCAACATTTTTATGATCATTTTCAGTATCGTCGTGTCAACATTATCGTCATCACCACCGTCATCATCATCATGTATTATCATCACTTTTTTCATTGTCTCTATTACCATCATCATCATCATCATTGTCGATGCTGTCATAATCACCACTGTCAGACATCATTGCAGTCATTATCATCATCATGGCAGTCATCATCATAATTATTGTCATCATCATTGCTATCATAATCATCATTGCTGTTACAGTCATCAGCATCATTGTTGTGATAATTAACTTAGCTGCCGTCAATATAATCATCATAGTAGCCATATTCAATATTGTTGTTACCATTAAAACACATAATCTTTATTGTATCACTGTACCCATCATTTTCATCCACTAAATGAAAAGAAAAAAAATAATGTGAAAGTACTTACTTTTTATTCTTGGGTCTCAACCGATCTTTCTGCACAATTTCATTGTAAGTATTGTCCCATCCAACATACTCAATAACATAAAACTGAAAAAAAAAAAATGTTCAGCTTTATCCACTCTATCAAATTATATGTGACAAATAACTGTGATATGCCCATATTTGAAGGTACTGTAATACGACATTATCATGTTCATATATAGGCACATTACACAAATTTGTCACATAAAATATGAGTGTAGACACAGCTTAAGTCATTTCAAACATAGTCAGTACGTTTGTATAAAAGGAATAGTTCTCAAATAAAAATTACAACAAAAAATATTTTCCTGCTTTCCTTCTGATCCGATGTCCTGGGTTCAAATCCTGCAAAGGATTTTTTACTCTCTACTACAAAGCAATATCATGTACTGTAATAAAGTTAGTTTTCAAAACATTTAATTTTATGAAATTAAATATTTGAAAGAGCACTTGGATACAGTATCAGTTGACCATTTGGGCTAAGGTGGAAGAGTATCTTAAGTCATTTCATCCACTAGCAGATTGCTTATTACATACATTATAGCAGGGATGGGCATAAAATTTGTCGGAGGGCCAAAGTGAATTTTTGATTTAACATCGAGGGCCGCACCCAATTCGTGTTTCCAGTGAGCTTCCAAAACCCTCCAAGCACTGCTTTTACATCACTTTTTTCTCAGTTTTAATGTTACTTTTTACATATGATTGGTGTCGGGCTTTAAAAAAACAAGGTGATTTCTGCCAATTTTGATTGGCGGGCCGCAAGCATAGGGTTTTTAATTCATTGTCGCGGGCCGCAAGTAAATCGCTGATGGGGCCGTGTGCGGCCTACCTGTGCATTATAGGAAGAAACCCTGTAATACCTAATCATATGCCAAGATTTGAACCCAGGAATTGTAAAGGAAGGGCATCTCAACCACCAAGCCTCCAAGAATTTATTCTGTGTGCTGATGTGAAATTGTCTGGCGACATCGCAAACTAAAAATGCCCAGTTGCTGAGGGATTAAGTGTTTATTACATACCTCTCCCTTAGCATCTTGCACCTTGGCACTCCACCATCCACATGGTTCACCTTCGCAAGATCGTGAGTAAACCTAGAGAAACAAAAATAGAAACTAAATTTAGAAATAATGATGATGGATCTTTCATGGAAAAAAATAGCTGTTGATGGATTTAGTATGTTGGAGGCAATGAAATCAAAAGATTAGTAATTTAATTGTCCTCTTTGAATGATTTAAGATGATTTTAAAATGGTTTCTCACAACTGACATTTCCAAATCAACTTTTGCTTAAGCCAAACAACAAATAATTTCTTCGTAATAATAAATAATTTACACGTTCTTGGAATAGCGACCTACTGTACATATAGGCTTATACTTCAGGGCACTGTTATTACATAACAAGAATACAATACAATACATCTCAATTTAATAGATCAATCAATCAATTCCTGAAGGTCAAGGAATACATAGATAGTCATTACTGTAAAAAAAAACACACACACACACTACACAGTAGTAGGCAACCCTGTAGGCCAGGCCCAGACATAAACAGATACGAGTCATACCAGATGTTTACATTTTAGCAGATTTCCCAGGTGTATGCCCATATATAGTTATTATGTACCTTGTAGTCATGATGTGATGTCATCATGACCATATTTAGGCACATCACATGTTTTTGTTTTTGTCACACATTTTTATTTTGATAATCTGGACAGATCTTAAGATTTAAAAAAAAAAAAAGAAGGTAAATGACAAGACATCCATTTGGCCTTACCTCAACTTCATCATTGGTATGGAGGTCTCCAAAGTCATCATTTCTTTCAGGGGGAATACGCACATTTGCAAAGGGTACTCGACGGGGTGGAGTCCAACTGATTAAAGATGTAGATTTACATAAATTAAAAATATAAAGTAAGAATTAATAAAATCATTATTAATAATTATTAAAATACTAGGTGTGTAGAAGAGTAGAACTTTTTCTAACCATATGTCCAATTATTGGGTAATGAAAAAGAAGTTGATGACATATAATATAACAGTTAAATAATAATATCAATATTTGACAGTGTGAAATTAATATGTAGTGTGTGAAAATGGATAGAGAATTACTTGGCTTACTCACTCGTTTTCAAATGCAACAGTTACTCCATCATCATGGAGATCTCGAAGGAATCCCTAACAAAAGAGAGATAAAATCATTATTAAACAGTATTAAATCAATTAACTAATTATTATAAATGTTTTATTTTATAAACCTCCTTAAATAACTTGAGTCTCAAAGCACTCAATATTAATACCCTGGTAATTGGCTTCATAAATTGGCTAGCTGGCACAAAGCGCAGCCTCCACTAGCACCTGGGGTGTGTGTACCTAATCAATGGCCGCATTCAATGCGGCCAGATGGTGCAATACAGTCAACAGCATATTTAACATATCACTCAAAAAAATAAACCTATCATCTTTATACCAGTGGTAAACATTAGGATGTGCAATGAGTTTATGTACAATTAGTATGAATGTCATTCCAAACATTGACAAGGTCATTTTATTTAAAGTTTCACTTTTATTTAAGCATCATCCGAATTAATACATAATACAAAGAGACAAACTTATTGCATATAGTACAGTAGATTGGAAGGCAAGCATATCACCTAGTACTAAAGCTATCTATTATTTCCCAATCCAAAAAAGCTTCTGACAACTCTGAAAATACCCTTAACCCAGAGACATCTCTATTCCCAACATTGAACAAATCTGTTAAACCATTGTCCACGTCAAGCACATTGTAGAATGACCTTTCCTTAGTGTCAGACCTACATTACTGTATATTTCATGTGCAATGATATAGTGTTTTGAGTTTTGTGATTGTAATCTTTCATACCAGCATCTATCAATTTTGAAATTCATATGAATATCTAAAACATAAATAATTTCTATGACAGAAAAAAAGTTTCTAAACAATCAAATAATTGACCTATTTATAGGTAATTGCATACACAAGATCAAAGTTCTCTTCCTAATCACTGACAAAAACTTCCAAATTCACCTCTTATCACAAACAGATATAATATGTTATGAAATGCTGATAAACCTCTACACTTTGGGATCCTTGATGCTTAAAAGGCACATTGTGGATGAACTTTTTTTTTTTATATAATGTTGTACAAAAGGGACAAACATTTCACCTCAGTTTACAATTACATTTAAAGCTAGGTATCTTATTATCCATTCCAAAGATTTATGTCAAACAACCATTTAGTGTAAACATAGTCGGAAAAGTTTTCCTCTAGAGATTAGTATTAAAAATGCAGAAGTTGTAATGAGGCTGCAAGTCAAATCGTATCCACATCTCCATTACTCAGATCAGATCAAGTTGCTGGCAGCCAAATTCCAGCCATACTTTCTAAAAAGGGAACTCGTCATCAACTATTTTGATTGTAATTATTTCAATGATGATGATGATTCTCAATGGACATGATAGAAGAATTTTTATTCTACTTATTCGTGGGTTTCTCCAGACAAGATAAATTGGCATACTGGAGGTTGATCTAATACCAGAGATATTCACAAAATGATAAAATTTTTAATAACATAATCTGCACAAAAACTTTAATTAAATTTATAGAGCCATCACAAGATATATTTACTCAAAAAATTTTCCCTAATTTGTAATTAGGAAATAAAATTAAGGAAATAATTAACTTGCCCAGTAGGATCTCAGATGATTTATATTCTGGCATTACTATGTATTCTGGAACTATATTTTCACTATCAGCGTTGGGCAACCCGGCTCTTATTTTCATAAAATAGCGCCAAGTTTATTGAGTCTTCGTTTAATCCCCATTTCTTCCCCCTTAATTATGTACTGTAATATTTTGATTATAATTATTTCTGTAGGATGATAATGAAGATGATTGTCAATGGACACCTTGAAAAAATTATATTCCACTTATTTGTGGATTTCTCTAGAGAGTGTGCTTAGTTTCTTGGGTCTTTAATCCCATTTCTTCCCCTTAATGATTACTATAATTATGTGCATGTAGACCTTGTAAAAATGAATTTGATAGGTAGCTTATTATACTGTGGCTTCTACAATACTACACATTTCAAACTGAGACTTGTACAAAGTGTATTGTACAGTAGGTTGAAATAGCCCTACAGTATATTGTTTAGTATTATTTAGTGACTATTGTATTTCCTTACTGTAAAAGAAAATATTCACCACTGTCACTAAACAAATCATAGAACTCCAAAATTATAATTGTTAAGTAAAAAAAAAACTCATTTTATATCAAACATGCATAGCCTGTGTACCCATTGGAACTGACAAGCCTAAAGTGGTTTATTATATGCTTGGTAACACTTGAGTGAGCTTAGACCAAACCATGGAAATCATACACAATTCTGCCACCTCTATAGACAGTATGCACTGTATGCACACAACCTACTTTACAGTACATAGTCCTTTTTTTTTTATATCTACAAGGAAACTTGGATCAGACCCGACAGGCATAATGCAGCGCTTACCTGCCCCAGTCAGTTCATCAGAAGACAATCCCCTGCCATTTTTTGAATACTATTTGTCTTGCTAATTATTATGCACACGAGATCAACCTACTAATCAGACTATCCATAGCTATATTAACATGATCATAATAAAACAGCATGGCTTAGACGGAATGCAATGGTTTATTTATACTACAAAGTCTATACTTAATGAACTGTACACATACCATGAACACTAACATGGTATTATTAATTGTAGAGCTTGATATCAGTCTTGTAATGTATGTATAATATCACATAGAGAAATAACTATTGCAGGGTTCAAATTTCCGACAGCAACTGCTCAAGAAAGGGCCTTATATACAGTACCGCCACGAAATACTGCACTTTTACCTACGCGCAGGCTTCGTAGATACGTACATTGTAGCATGATATAAACAATCTAACCTGCTCGCAGGCTTCGTAGATACATCGTAGCCTGATATAAACAATCTAAGCAAGGCTAGGCAAAGCGAACCTACGAAGCAAGAGCATGTTGTTTATTTGTATGTGCAGAAAGACTGCTGTAGCTTACTGGAATAAACAATGTATTGTTTGATAATTTGTGAATGACAAACAGTTTAGACCGTTAATTTAAAGTATGGAGCTGTTTTTCAATAAGAAAAACGTACACTTGACTTCTCCTCTTCCACTCGCTGTCCACGACAGGAACTTGTTTGTACTGCTGTATTATTTTTTTTAATTAATTAGCTTAGGACTAGCTTATTTTTTATTTACAATTATTTTACCTCATTTAAATGTCAAAAAATGATGTCCTCAATGACAATACACACATGTGAAAAGATTGTTCATCAAATAATATTTTGTAATCTTGACTTAGTAAGATAAATAATAAATATAAAGGAGAATTAACGTCCGCTGGTTGTAAAATTACCGAATGTCACATGGAAAACCCAATGGAAAATAAAACTTAGCCAGCATTAGACGTCAGAGTGCGCGCCAATCAGAACAAAGTAAAGTGTGTTAAAGGTTAACCGCGTGGCAAATGTTGAAAAGCTGTGATCAACAGTGAGTAAAACACGGACTAAATGCGGTCTAGCATGACTAGCCTTAATTCGGCAAGGTAGTGATTTCTATACTTCCATTTAGTATTGGATCGCTTTGCAGGTTGTTCTGCTTCAAATTTCGGTAAACAATAAACAACGTGATCTGTAGAAATCGTAATAATTTGTACATGATTTGTCATCAGTATTATTTAAAAGAAGAAAATTCCTACTACCAGAACAATAATATCAGATCAAAATTCTCCGAATGTTCACCAGTATAACTACTGTCTGCTCTCCTCCTCTATAGGGGAAAATGTAGGCTGTACGTAAGCCTCAATGACATCGAAATTCGAACATACTGAATGCCAACTAGGTTACCCAGCTAGCGAACTAAACACAGTTTTAAAACATGATCGATTTAATAATAAGGTAGGATATAACAAAATAATAAAGTTCTAACATTGTTTATTAGTAAATTGCAACATTGCTTACGTGTTGAAAGCTGGTAAACTATATTTCAATATTGTTTGTACGCATTGTTTATCAGCACGACGATCCAGCCTATGATCACTACAAAGCTAATTAAAATAACAATGACCTTCGTAGTGGTTCGTAGCTACGTTCAAAACGTACCTACGAGCAGATTACGAGAGGTTACGCGCAGATACAAAGCGATAATTTGTGTCTGTACTGTATAATGCAATGGATCGATAGCAAGCTTTTAACTGTCGTCAAGTTGCTTAACCCACGCTAGGCCTAGCACAGATTTTACCCTTTAAAAACAATAAAAGCTGTTGATTGTTGCTGTAGAAGAATAAATTGCTGTAGTAAAGCCAGACCCCACAGCAACTATTTGCTGATGGATCATTTTGAGGAAATTCGAACCTTATATTGGTTTGTCAACACATAGGTTGCATCTCTCCTACAAACACTTAAAGATTGAAAATGAAAGGATATGTTTTCCAAAATAATCATTTTCCCCAACATTACAGATTAAAAATGACATGATAATTATTAGAGTAATTATCAATTTGCTGAATTTATTGAACATCTGTACAGTGCTATCTACCTCATCTTTATTCCTTATTTTCTGTGTAATCCAATTTATTATGAAAATTTACTCAATAATAATTTTAAAGATTAAAGTACATAAAAAAACAGATACCATCATACGCATGAGTGGACTTGAATAGCGTAGTGGTGAAGATGCTTGCTTTTCAATACCTACAGTAGGTCTTGGGTTCAAGCCATGTCACTACAGGTTCCACTCACAAAGCCTCATAAAGACCCTTACCCACACTAACACATTGAAGAACCATGGGACATTGGAAAAAACAAGCCCCGAAGAGACCCATTGTTTTTTTCTCACCATTGGAAAGTTTTATGTGGATCTGTGAGCTACAGTGATTTAATTGCTTTTGTTAATCCTCGCTTCCTTAGATTTACTGTACAGTTTTATTCTGTATTGTGAATTTTTTTTTTTTTTTCTAAGTTTTATTTTATTGTATGTACAAATTATATTGTGATTTTTATAAAAGGCTATTATATTATAAAGAATTAATAAATGAACCTGGGTACAACTTGTTACTCATTGCAAAATAATGACAGTGTAAATATAGATTTACAAAGCCTCACTCCATCACACCATGACTATATATAGGCACATCATGACTATATATAGGCACATCATGACTATATATAGGCACATCATGACTATATATAGGCGTACAGAACTTTTTTTTTTGTGGTCAAATAAAATTTGATAATCTGGACAGGGCTCTAGAAGTTTCAGAAAAATTACAAGTGAAAAAATAGGGTGATGCTTACTTTGTAAAATACGATTCTGTGGAGTTGTGTGCACAGGAAGCTACTGTACTGTATATGGTGTATTATATAAACACCACTTTATGGCTCCTACAGTGTGTACAGTAGTCACAGACGACATCCTTACGCAATTCAGCAAAATCAGGTTCTGAGTTGCTGTGTGGGTTAACCTCCTACATACTGTACCTTCACCTTTGATCATTTTTAATTACTATGTAATTTTTGTAAAGCAATATGAGTTTTGCCCCATCAGACTACCATCAAAGTATCAAATAGATAACTTCACAATCCCAGAGTGTTGGGGTCACTTCCCTTCAGATAATGATTTTTGTTCTCACCATTATTAAAAAAAAAAAAAACTGGCTGACGTGTAGCATTATAAAAACAAAAAATCGGGATTGGCAATGGCAAATGGAAGGAGAGATGTCCAAGTGGGGAAATATGGGCCAAACAAGGAATTAGAAGGGATGTGCACATTGGAGGCATTAATGGCAACATGCGAGGAGAGGGGAAAGTGGAATGGATGGGCAAGTGGGAAGAAATAACAAGTGGGAAGATAATTGACAAGTAGGAGGAAGTACAGAGATGTGTAAGTAGGAAGAGTTAGGCAACTGGAAGGAAGGATAGGTACAGGGAAGGTGTAGCAAATTGAAAGGATGGGCAAATAGGGAGCTGGGAAAGAGAGAAGTTGATTAGATGTAAATTACTGTAGATAAGTTAGGAAAGAACAAGTGGGAAAAATGCAAAGGAACAAAAGGATGTGCAACTGGGAGAGCAAGATGAGATCCAAGCCTGTAGCAGACAGGGAATATGGTAAGATCCAAGACTAGAGGACAGGATATGGCGAGATCCAAGCCAAGGGGACAGGGAATATGGCGAGATCAAAGCCTAGGGAAGAAGTGATATGGCGAGATCCAGCCTATGCAACAGGGAATATGGTAAGATCCAAGCCTAGGGGACAGGGGATATAGCGAGATCAAAGCCTAGGGAACAAGGGATATGGCGAGATCCAGCCTATGCAAAAGGCAATATGGCAAGATCCAAGCCTGGGGCAGAGGATGTGGTGAGATCCAAGTCTATGGGACCGGGAATATGGCGCGATCCAAGCCTAGGGGACAGGGGATATGTCGAGATCCAAGCCAAGGGGACAGGGGATATGGTAGAGAGAAGTAGGCAAGAGTCTGCACACAGGGTGGTACACTGGATATTCTGAGATGCATCGACAAAGGAGATGTAGACAGACGAGTAAGAAATAAAACGCGCAATTAGGAAAAGAAGATGGAAGTGTGACAGAGGGGATGTGCTAATGAGGCAGGGGGATGCGAGGGAAAAGTTCATCAATTACCATGTTGATGTATTGATTTATTAAAATAATGCTGCTCTGGCCTACTTTTTTTTCCATCACACCTGAAACATACTTGCACGGTCACACCTAACATTTGGTGTGTAACTCACATGACCGCAATTCCAATTTAAACTGGACCAAAAATAGCCTAGTTGCACACAAATTACACCAGAACATCGAACCGTGCATGCAGTCGGGGAAAAAAATATAAAAATTGCTTAAATATCACCCTTCAGGACTTGCTGGAATTTTGTTTATTTTGTTCATAAAGTGTTTTAATATTTCTGTTGTTCTTGCATACATTAGGCTTAGATAGGAGCCCTAGTCTGGGGCTGGCCTCCTGGCCTAGGCCTAGCTAAAGTGGGTTATATTTGAATTGAATATTTATGAATTCATTTGTTTTTCATTACATTAATTACCTCTTTTGCTAGCCTAGTGCCTAGGCCTAGTCAGGTCTAGCTTAGGCTTATTAGTATATTAGCCAATTTTTCATTTAATTTAATTAGACTATGCTATATGTATGATTTGTAAAAGGTGAAAGTAAAAGTGACCGTAGCCATCCCTGCTGCTGTTGCTAAGCCAAACTTTCCAGCATAGCATACACAGGTTTAAGGCTTAGGAAGAATCAAAATAGCTAGCCCATTGACATGAGGAGGCGCGCCAATGTTACAAATAAAACACAAAGATCGAGTAAAGTGCAGATAAATGTGAATTTACTTATAAATAATTTGCATGGCTACACATGACACACATAAATGTATTATTTTCGTGAAATTTAAGTACCCAAAAAGGTCTAAAATTAAACAATACCACCAAACGAGACCCTGCTAAATCCCGACGAAGGCACACTTCGGACGACCCACAGAGGTGCACGTTTCGCACATCATCGGCCTTCGTAAACCAAGAGCATAAAAATCTCCAAAAGCAAAAAAGTATTTAATGTTCTAATTACCCCAGAAGTTAACAACGTTCTAGTGTTTCAAATGTGTATTTAATGAATTCGAAAAATGAAACATTTTGTCACAAATACCTTGTAATAAGCTCCGTTAACTCCACAAATTTCAACTGCAGGGTTGTCCATCTTGGAAACGTAATGAATTGTGGGAAACGGAGTAGAAAAAAGTCTTTGGCGTTCAGCCGCTAGAAATCGTTGAAATGCCGGAGCAAAGCATCATCAAAATTCGCGGCTCATCTTCTTCAATTTCAAACATGGGCATAAATAGATTACAATAATTAAAATATTAGTAAATATGGTCTAAAGAAATAATTATCTACAATTTGTAATGAAAAGAAACAATTTTAGTTATGAGCAAATTATGCAAAAGTCTGGGAATTTACAAGTTAAACTGGGGAATTCCCAATTCAGTGAAATTATAAAACCACTTGCTCGTGCCGTGCGTCATTTTCATTGAATGACTGAGAAAACGTAGACCTCGTCATGCACTTACCGGTATTCCAAACATATGATTTTAAAGGGTGTTTCAGAAATATGGCCTATTAAATACGCCTAGATGGGGATGGGGAAATATGTTGGAGAGGGGAAATAAACAAATTGCTTCCTGGAAGTGGGGAAAATAATGAATTTAATGACTCAGTCATGACAGGCCAATAAAAAAAAAAGCTTCCATCAATTCCTTTTATCATACAATGTCAATATTTAGCTCATTTTTTCAGTAACTATGCATAATATTTTGTTAAGGTATTATTTAAAATATAATCCCAAGACAAACAAAAAAAATTGCAGTAAAAACCAAATTCATCTTCAGCAACGAAGCAAATCCACCAGAATCTTAGATTATTTCGTATTATTGTTTTTAAAAAAAGATATACAGATTTCTATACAGTAAACATCACTATTAGTATAGACCATGATTCTTGACTTTAAAAAATAATCAAAATTTGAAATCTCCATAGCGACTGTTATTATTGAATAGACTGTGTGTCTGTCTTTTAATGCAATTAGGCCTAAGGATACAGTTTATAATACTATAGTGAATAATTGTGTTATAATTCTCTATGAATTATATATAATGTGAGCATTTAGAATAAAATTACAAGGCTAATGAAAATTTCACTGCAAATAGGCTATTCTTTGTTTCCATTACAACTTAGCAAAGTTGCTTAATTTCATTTATTTTTCAGATTATTGAATTAAAATCTTCAGTTTTACAACTGTTTTTGTGTATTGAAATTCGTACCTTTTATTCGAATGAAATTCAAGCGACCCATATAAAATATATTGATTTATAAATGCCTATGTTTTCTATGAGAATTTGTGTAGGGCCTATATGCAGGTCCCACGACGAACCGAAATACAGCACAATTTGTCTATAAAAACAAAGTAAATCACAGAGTTTTCATCTTGTAGAAAGTCAGATGTCACTATACGTTATTCAAGTAATGAATAACTAAATATCATTTTGTTGAAAGTACAGAGGACTAAATTACGGTTGCAAAATATCAGAATTTCATCTTTTTTGTTATAGGCGGGTATTTGAAATAGCCGCCATAGTAGAAGTAAGTAATTTGACACGCAACTTTTTAAAAAATTTACTTATAAAAGGCATTTTGCCCGTTTTTACCCTTTGGTATTAAAATGCACAACTGGATCTCTTAAAGCTGCTATATATAGGGAGTTTTTGCAAGCTTACAAAAACGATAACGAATATACGGTTACGTCATGAAATGTTTAGACAAACCTTCCCCCACATTAAAATATCTGTCACACGAGGCGATTGATGCATTTTGCATGAATCAAGGATCATTCAACTCGTACAATATATTGTCAAGAATGTTTTGGCACTGACTAACGATAGTGATAATGACGTATTCGTATTTGTTTCGTTTTCGTAATGTTGCGAGATCTCCCTAATGAATAAGCTGTCAGTACTGCAACGCTTATAGGTCCAATGTAATAACGGAGGAGGAGGGTGATCTATGTCTATTGACACCAATATTATGTTTTATTTTCTTTTTTCAAATTAAGTTGTATTGTCGCCTGAAAAGCAGCAAAATAAGAACCATAAAAATAAATCTTTTAATGAAATTGCTCATTTTGAATTAGCATAAGCATTATCAACTTGATCATAACAATAGTAGTATAAAAATGTTTACCCATAACTTTATTTCATGTCAATTTTTTCTCCAAAAACATGCAAAAACAACAGGCAAGAACAGAACGGCATGAGAAACAAACTAAATCACCTGGTTTCTCTGAACACATTAAAAATACGACAAATAGCAACAATAAAGATAAAATATATCATTATATATATTTATATAGGCCTATATATAAGGATAACAATGTAATGATTGAAAACAAGCTTCCATTCCCTTTAAGTGTCTTTGTGATTTTTATCATTTCGTGTCTTTTTAGAGAGGCTGCAAGGGGCGACCATCTCGGCACATCAAAGGTTATAACTCTGGCATCGACATTCTAGGCGCACGTGCGTCCCTACACGCTGAACGTCACAGCAACCAGACCATAAACCGTCAGCGTACGTGACGAATTACTCACGCGCGTGTTAGTTGCCATGATAATCGCGCGTCCTGCGGTGATTACAAAGACCAAATGATATTTTGCACTAACATTAGACTGAAATTATATTCTTCATTTCAACATTAATTTTACCAAAATTGTGGTGAATTGTCGTTCATGAAACTCACTTTGCAGAAAAAATTAATAAATGTTCTGTATATACTCAAATGTTTGTTTTCGGCACCTTATGCCAACATTGTCAAAATGACAGGTTAATGTTACATAAGAACATGAAATTTTATAAAATTCGTAAATTTTAAATTGCTATAACTTTTCATTTTCTTGGTCAATTTTCAGAAATCAAATTGCAGTTTATAGACGCAATTAACAAGCTCGCGGTCAAAAAAAATCAGATGTAACAGACATTGCGGAGTACTCAAAATTAATAAAATTAAAACTAACACCATAAAACGAATGGCACGCATAGACTAATAATTGACGACTGTACTCGCAACTTATGAGGGCGTAGGCCTATCATTTTTTTTTTATGAGATGCCAGGCCCGTAGCTAGGTTCTTCCAGGGGGTCGGCGAACCCCAACTAGAGGATATGTTTGTGCCTTATGGGTCTATGTATAAAAGGGTGAGTCTGCAGCGCATTTGTTCGGTTGCAGGACTTGTCCAGGAAATTTGAGGGGGGGGGGGGTTCGGAGAAAAAAGGAGGGTTTGCTAGAAAAGGGGGTTCTCCCGAACCATAAAAAACCCCACTGGGTACGGGCCTGGATGGCTGGTTTCATACCCATGCTTCCGTGGGGTTAAACGATCAACTTGATAGGAAGGAGTCGCAGGTTTGAGCTAAAGCAGATTTTAGACAATAAGGAACTTTCAAATAAGCAATTTTGGACCCTAAGTGTCAAAATAGAACGTTATTTATTTATTTGTTTAAATAAGGCCCCATAAAAAAATATTAGTTTATCACCCTATCAAAGAATAAAAACTGATGAGGGAGGAAGTTTTTTGTTTTGTTTTGTTTGTTTGTTTTTTTTTTACTAACCCCGCCCCCATTTTACCGATGATCACAAGTAAATCAATGGTTAGAGACACATATATAAAAAGTCATAAGAATTGAATCAAATTTATATTTAAAAAATATGTTTTGTTGTACCAGTTTGCAAGAAATCCTGAGCTTTTCAAGTGAAAAAAGATGGGAAAATGACCGTTTGAAATAAAAATATCTGTTGATTGGAAAAAAATAATAAATCAGATTTTCCCCAAAAGTGATAAGGGAGCGGGTGATAAACTAATAATTTTTTTCTATGGGGCCTAATGTGTAACTTATTGAAACTGTTTTTCTTTACCATCAATGATCAGAAATATATCTATATATTTTTGGAATACACAATTCATAAATAATAATTAATCATGAACTTTTCGTCGTTGAATTTGTACAAACCGGACGAACACAGGCCTATGCTTAGAAATAAATGCTGCACATATAGGTAAATATACTATAGCAAGTCAGTCGTCCGCGGCGATACAAACTTTAACTTTGGCAGAACATTTGGAAATCTGTTTTAAATTAGGTGAACCAAAACAGACGTTTAACCCCTCACGGCTTTAATTGGTAACTTGGCACGCACGTTGAATTGTACATAAACAGAGCTAAAAGACTCACAACACCATTCGTCCGGCAAAGCTTATAAACTAACCATCAACCATGAATTCGAATTGTCAACAATCAAAAGAGAAAACAGATTTAAAAGCAGTTTCTACGTTTCTCTATCGAGGAGTTATTGCCAGTCTTTTAGTGTTGTTGTTTCTGACGGTATGTGTTCTAGTTGTGAAAACGATCCGACTTGAGGAAGATGTTAACAATCACAAGGACACGTTGATGAATATTCTCAAACGAATTGATGAGTTAGAAAACGGAGACGATCAAATCAGCTTAAAGGAAAAGGTAAACTAGTATTACAAAGATGAAAGGTAATAGTTTGGGTGAAGTTAATATAGGCCTAATGATAGGCTTGCTCTATAAAATACCGTAATTACTTTATTCATAAACTAAGCATGACCTCACTAACCTTGAATTGGTTACTTGTAAATCGCGACGGTACCCGCTGGTGACGCAGATAATTCGTCAAATAGGATTAAATACTGTACTTTTTTGCCGAAACAGGCATAACTTTACACGCTTTACTTGAATCATGAATTTAAGTGGAATTCTAAATCTTATAAATTGGAAATTAGATATGAAGTCCTTAAAAATGGTATGTGGGCGCCTTCGATCGTATTTTGGAATTCGCCACATACATTTTTTCTTTAAATAAGAACACATTTTATAATAAAACACTGAGGCTGATTGCTTAAAAATAAGAACAAAATAAGAACAAATTGAGGTAAAATTCAAAATGTCATATAAGAACTTAGGAAAAACAACAAATTAAGTCACCTAGCAAAGTATTAATGTTTAAAAAGGTTAGAATGTAAAATTCTTTTCGGGTCTTATATGTACCTTATATGCAGTAGTTTGACTATATGTAAATGCTCTATTATACAGTACAGTACGGTAGTACACTATTGTACAGAATAATCATTTTGCTATCTTTGAAAAGTGTGTAAAATAAGAACAACGTAAGAACACGTTAAGCATGAAATGGCAAAAAAAAAAAAATAAATAAATAAATAAAAATAAATAAATAGAAACGCTGAGTCTGGGCAAAACATGCTGATCCGAGATCTTCAACAACACTGTAAAGTTGTTGCATACCAATGAATAAACTTTTATGCATTTTCATCAGACGTTGTTTGGTCGCAAACTATTGGCTATTGATGGAACCCAGCAGTGTACCTGTCCTCCAGGTAAGAAATCTAGGATTTAAAAAAAATGAGTTTCGTGAGTCTGTGACGTCACTGCGCCTAGCACCAAAGTAATTGCAAGGGCAAGTTGCGTAACTTGCATCAGTACGTTCACACTGAACAACAACAGTTGCTACGTTTGTGCGCGCGTCTATGTTGCTACGTGTGAACCAAACTTTAGACTGGAAAATTCGTCGCTCACATCACGAACTAACACAATCAAAGTAGATTGTGTTAGTTCGTGAAATCACAGTAGCGCGTCAAAACGAGCGCGTATTGGTTGTCCAGCAAATTTTGTATTCTTTACCACACAAAAAGTCCTTAACGACAACAGCGCGTATTTTGACGTGCTTTTTTGATTTCACTAACTAACACAATTGAATTTAATTGTGTTAGTTCGTGATGTGAGCGACGAATTGCTCGATGCATACAGAAAACATAAATGTTTCTATGTACAATAATATACTAAAACGTACTGCATATTCAAAATTTCTACTTATTCGCATCTCTGTAAGGTCCAAAAGGAAATCAAGGAGAACGAGGCGAACGAGGACGAAGTGGGAGGACTGGTAAAGCAGGTAAGTCAGAACACCTGGGGATCTCATGTCGATTCAATCACTGCTTCATGTTTACGGAAATGGAATAGGTGAAGTCTAGGTTATGATTTGTGGTGCCATGTGCCTTGATTGTTTGAACCCATTTTACTTTGTCCCCTTTAACAAACACATGATGCCTATAAATGATTTTAAACTTCCAAACTACATCGTAATTGACAACCTGACAATCTGTTTAAATATTATCAGTTTTGAAAAACTGAAATACAACTTTAAAAATTTATTTATATAATTCATTTGCTAATAAATTTTAAATTTAACTGGAATCTTTTTATTCAGCATTTTAATATTGTGTATATTACTATCTTGCTGTCTTATGTTAATGCAAATTAACAACATATATATAATTTATTTATTTATTTCAAGAGGGTGATCCATCCAGCAATGCTGGATATGGGGCCCTCATACAATATAAAAATAAAAACAATTGAATCTGAATAATCGTTTTGCTAATTTAGGTTTCACTACGAAAAGGATATGTGTGTGTCTGTTGGTAAGTGAGTCACTGGCTGCCGAAAAGGTTGACACAGTTTAGTGGGACATCCTTCCCACTCGCAGATTCAAGGTTCAAAATTTGTAAGACGGTTAAGAGATTTATTTCTTTTATACTGTACCTGTTGAGTATCTTTTCGGAGATCCTGACTTGTATTTTAAAATAAGATATTGATCTCCGTTATTTGCTAGTTCATCAAGAACTAGCGTTGTTCCACTACGCATGGGCAAACGAGTTCGAATTCCCAACGAAGCCCCAGTGGGTCAGTTGCTTACGGCGTCCTGGATGTGAATCCCGGCAAGATAAATATTAAATGCTGTAAAGGTCCATGAATCATTTGTATCTGTCTTGTCTTTTTATCTGCAGGTGATACCGGTAGGCCAGGACCTCCAGGGGTCAATGGAACTAAGGGTGAGCGTGGCCCAAAGGGGGATAAAGGAGAAGTAGGCGAGAGAGGTTATCAAGGTAGGCCAATACTCTCAGACGGTACCTTAAAAGAGGGAAGACATCGTTTGCTATCCATAATTTAAATATGCCTCTTGATTATTTAATTTGTTTACTATAAAATAATATATCTTAAAGCGAAGAAAGTTGACGAGTGGGTGTGGGGTGGGCAGTAATGGTGGGGTGTAGTGGCAGTTGTGATAAAGATTAGAAACAGACTGTATGTATGTCTATTGCTATAGGCTACTAACATCTGAAGGTACATTTCTTCTCCATAAAAAGACATCCGTTCATAAGCCTCTGTGAAGAGAGCCTTTCAGAAGAATTTATATTAGGCAACTTTGAAAAAAGATTGAACAGTGGTGGATCCAGCGTTATGTGAAAAGGGGCGTATAGAATGACGTACGGTAGTTTAGAAGTGGGGGAGGAGGTAATTTTCTAAATCCTCGGAAATGAGCATTCCTGCATTCTAAGATGTCAAAATAATTAATTTCAGAGTTATTAGATCCTGCGCAATAATGCATGATGATGACGACGACGGGATGCTGATGATGATAATGATGATGATGATAAAATTATGAGCACAGATAGCACACGATGGCTTGAGAACCGTGAGTGGTTAAGACCCTTCGATCAAAGTCCCGAGCAGTGGTGGCTCTAGGATATAATTTATGGGGGGAGGGGGTAAGATGTCCGACTGGGGGAGGGGGATAATTATTTATGGGTGTAACTATAGCGCGCAGCGTTCTCTGAGGGCCGAAGCCCCGAGCCGAGGGTGGGTATGAGAAGGAAAAAGTGGGACTTCTAGATGGCCGGAAATGGCACTGTCAGCCTTGGCAGGCTTGGCGTAGGCAGTACGGTATATTAATGGGATGGGAAAACTAGGCCAATTTTTTATATTTTTAAAATTTTTTTGGTCCGACTGCCTGACGAGCTTTGGCCGATGGGGGGGGGGGGCTTGACCAAATCTATGTGGGGGGCTTATTCCCCCCGCTAGCGCCGCCCCTGGTCCCGAGGCTGAAGGTCCAGTGAAAAAACAGAGGTTCTGTTGTTTTGAAAGAATACTTTTAGCGACACAGTAAGAATAGGAAGGAAGCCATGAACGCATGAAAGCATTTGGAAGCACAAACAATCCGTAATTGACCATCCTGCAGCTTTGTGTATGGCTCAAACTATGCTTTTAGACCACAATACTTGTCAGGCAGTAGGAGCAAAAAAATAAATAAAATAAGTAGGACTATACACTAAGCCAAAACATGTCTTTCACATTCGTAGAATGTCATTTCCGCACATCCAGAGGTCCCTATTAAAAAAATTATTTTGGGAGGGGAAAATCATCCCAAACCCTTCCCCTCCAAAGGCATACAAGCTCAAGTCCCCCTGTCGGACAGCTTAGCCCAACTCCCCCCACCCACCCCCACAGAAAATCCTAGAGCTGCCACTGATCGGCAATCAAAATAACGTTGCTTGGATAGGCGAATTATTATTTTGGTCCGACGACCTCGTCGTGGCGTCGAACGACGGGTGTTCAGGTCTGTTGGACAGGTTGTGGGTGGGGGGGGGGAGGATGACGGGTGTTCAGGTCTGTCGAACAGGTTGTGGGGCTGGGAAAAATGTCCTCCAGCTGGCGCCACCATTGGTTCGGTCTCTAATAAAACGGTTAGCTTTGTGCTAAAAGCTTGAAAAAGTGGTCTGGAATTAAGGGTCTCGTTAATATAGGGGAGGGGTCTCGAATTGAACTGTTTATAGAACGCTCTTGTGGTTTCATAATGTACTCATATACCAACTCCCCCGAGCATTTACGGGGACAGTAAGTAGGCCTATGTATGAAGCACTCTATAATTAAATAATGTACTCTCCGTTATTGATTGGCTATGTGCGTGTGATTGTCATGTGAGAAATTTTAACTTTTGTCAAATGTTTTTTCTAATTCAAAACTGCTGATTTGATGCACATACACCATTTGGATCTTTCCTGCAGGTTTGGACGGCAAGTCTACTCGGGGACCTAAGGGTGAGGTTGGAAGTAAAGGTCAAAAGGGAATGAAAGGTCAAAATGGCACGCAAGGATCCATAGGAGACCCCGGTCCGATGGGTCCCAATGGGCCACCAGGTCCTAAAGGAAAGGTTGGACAAAAAGGCACTACTGGCCCCCCTGGTAAGTAGTTCCTATATTTGAATGAAGACACATTATATTTATTATTCATTTATGACGAAGACAAGGCGTCATAATTTAGGCTTAAATATCTTTATTTTAGCAATTGGGCACATAAAATATATATTTCTTGGGAGATCTTGCACCTTAACATAAATTTGCTATTATTATTAATATTAACAATTAACTGAAGTTTACTGCTAATGGACTTTAATGAGTATAATAATATATTCTATACATCTGTATTTACATATTTATGTGTCTGTATATGTGGGTGTGGATATTTTCACATACCACACCCACATATTACACATAAACATATATAGGAATATGCCTGATCATATACATTAATGGATCACTCACAAGTATACTGAGATTTACATACAGATGTGTAGGACATATTGTAGTAGTCAATGCATAGTCATTCGACCGTAACAGGCCTTTGTCTTATATACTTTGCTTTTTTAATATACGATTTAGTCCACTGATGAATCCCTAACCGGCGAAACTTTTGGAATAAACCTGAAACAACATATTATGCCTTTGAAGTCTTTTTTGTTTGTTTGTTCATATCAACCAAGGCATGGGATCAACATTGTATTCATCATATATATATATATATAAGATGTGTATAAGAGACAGATCTTAAACTTGTCTTTCTTGAGTTTGGGACTATTATGTGTTTAAATAACTTAAAAAGATAAAACTAAAAAATGCCCTAAAAAATGCGCGCCAAGCGCGCAAAATATTTTTGTGTTTTTAATTTCGTCGGAATTGATGAAAACTATCTAAAATGTGCAATTTATAGAGGAAATTGTCTTACCGTAATAAATCATCAAAGAAAGGTAAATACAGTGTTCGAATAAAGGACTTAATAAATACATCGTGTAGCATAGATCTCAACGAATGTAGTCCAGTAAATAAATGAATACATATATATACATTTATAAATCACATTGTTTTAGCTCGATTCCCCTACTCTTGACTAACATGGCCTTCGTTGAAAAACCACTTTAACATGCGCATATGTCCTCTCACCTTTACAACGCACACAAAAAGTATATGATGTTGATTCTTTCAGGAGCGACGGGGAATTATACTTTACTTGATGAAAATGGAGAAGTGATTTCAACGGGTACCTTGCGAGCCATTCATTTGCGTGGAAATGGAGGAGGCAACCGGATGACTGGCACTGCAAGTCTAGGTAAAATAATGCACTAAATGCATACTACCAGGATGGATTCAGGGGAAGGGGTAAATCCCAGCCATAATATTTGAAAATTTAAAATAAAGAGGCAAAAAATACATTTATTACAAGTTTAAGGTTCCGGCCATCTCGAGGTTCCATAACCATAGCATCTTATACCTCAACCATTCGAGCAGGCGGTCTGGACTTATCTGTAAAATCACCAACTCCTCTATTTAAAATTCCTGGATCCGCCACTCTGGAACATACACAAATCACAGAATTCAAGAAAATATTGCTGCAATTACACAATCGGATCAATCAGAGAGTAATTAACTACTAGTTATCAAATTAATTTTTAGGTCAATTTAATTTTCCTTTTCTATAGGCTATATACAGTATTTGATTTTTGTATGTTTCTTTACTTATGAATGCACCAGCGTTTTGTATGAGTGCCATTTTAAAACGGATACAATAAATTGAATTGATCAAGTATTCGTCTGACCAGTTACTGTAAGCCGTTTAACATCAGAAAATAGATCGATCGATCGAAGACAATCATTTAATCAATTAATTATTAAAAAACACAACGGGGGTTCGCATGGTATAGTTGGTCTATCATTTGAAAGATATCCATAGGACTACACTATTTTTTTCATCTGTCTACCCATGGTCTACCGATAACCACAAAACAAAACACCGCATTGTCTGCTGCCCTCTAGTGGCGAACTTTTTTTTTTTTTTTTGAATGCTACAAACAGGCCGCCAACTAAAGTCGATATTACTTGGAATAATTTTACAAACAACAGTTCTAAAATGAGATGCAATACCGTATTACTTTATTTATTAAAATTTCAAATTAATATTCATTATGAAAACGACTTCTACTAGGGGGGGGGGGCCTATATATTTTATAATCAGTATAATTCTGAAATACAGTAAATGCACGCTACTTCATGTTGCCCATTATTTTATAAGTAATTTTCTTTTGACCACTTAAAAAAAATGTATTACATTGTTTTTATGCTTCAGGTGCATTCGGTGAGATGAAGAAGTGGGAGGTTGCTACGAAGACAGATGGTTTCAACCTAAGCACAGATGGCAATGTGACTGTCTCCCAAAAAGGTCAATACTACATATACAGTAAGGTAGGAATGAATCAAATAATTATCCTTTTAATGCCATGATTGTGGAGTGGTTTCTTTTTTGCTTGTTCTGTAATTTTCCTAAAGTCTGTCGTTAGTTAATATTTTTTTGAAAACGTAATTCGGCGTTTTTGGCTGCCATGATTTATGTTTTTAATAAATTTTTATTGAATAAATAATATAATATATATATACAATAAGCATTCTTCCTATATTCACGATTCGGAACGTTGTAGGAGAATCATTTTATCCTAAAAAGATATACAATATTATAATATATATATATATATATAT